AGGCTTCCCTCAGCCAGCAGGGAGGCTGAGACACGGGAGTGGTTAGTTTCCAGCCCTGCTCCCAGCTGGAGGGGGGCAGAGTAAAGCCCCCAGTTCCAACTTCCTCTACCCACCTCTGGGCTGCTCCCAGCTGGAGGTCTGGTGCCAGGTGGGAGGGGTGGGTTTTCCCACCTGACACCCCTGGCTCAGTCCGCAGGGAGGCTGAGGAGAAGGCACGGCTTGGGAAATCAGAGGGCTCCAGCTCTCTGCAGTGGCCAGCGGGCTGGGAGGCGTGCTCTAGTACGTTCCTGGTTATTAGTATGGGCCACTGCAGGAGTCTGGCTCCCTTTCCTGTTTGAAAAAGTGAATGTCAGTTCATTTGCTTATTGGAATCTATGCAGTTTAAAAAAACCCTGCAAAGATTGGATCAATTCAGCCTCGAGCTTTTTTGACCATTTGTACTTAGCCAGGAAGGGTATGGGGCTAATTTGTCTCACTCCTGTCACAAAGGTTGGCTCCCACTGACATAGATATTCTATCACAGAGAGCACAGGCTACCTATGTTACAGGATATGAAGTAAAATGGTAAGCTGTTATTGCTTACACAATTCCCTTATACTTAGTTCTACAATGGACTTTATTTTCTATAAGCCTAAACGTTAACATTTTTAAGGAACTGAGGATGTGACTTATTTTACAACTGAATTTAAATTTCAAATATGATTCCTAGGTAACAAAAGATCACGCCAAGACCTGTCCTACTACTTGCTTATTATTACTGTTATAAGTAAAAATCTGATCTTATCAGTGCAGATGTGACACTATTTAGAGGGCTGAAATATTGGAACCATCTAGGCAATTTTGCTACACAACCCCAGCTAAACTTATTAGTAAGATCATCAGTAGTCTAATCTACAGACTTAATGCGTTTCTCTGGACTTTGATGCTCTTTGTTTGATGTGAAAAGGTTTTAAAAATAGAAATTATTTTGCTACTTTGGAAGAATCGAGAAAAACTGTCACAAAGTTTGTGTGTTTAGAGGTATTTCATTGGATCAGTTCATGCATTTTAAACCAATAGCACCAATGAAAACCGTTATGTCACAAATCAAAAACAGCAAGGAAAAAACTACAGCTCATGCTGTTCTGATTCAATGTATCCTTTTAAATTCTCTAGTGCAAAGACAGCATCTCATCAGTTAAGTTTCATTCAGGTACATTATATTTGAAATAAAATGTTGCTGGAGGGCATAATGAAGTATAATAAAAAAATTGTACAGGGGAAGGGACATGATGTACAATTTCATTAGGCCCAAAGCTGCAAATGGAGCCCTACAGGGAACAAAGAAACATAATTTTTAACAAATGCTTGCTGTATTAATAACAGAATCTGGGAACATTTTTGTCAGTTAAATTGCTTGCAAGAATAGTTTTTAATTAACAAAATATATTGATTTTCACTTTTCTTAATGAAAAGCAAATAACCTACACCAGGGAAAACAAATTATTCCTTTTTTAAATTAGAATTATATTCCTTTTGTTATTAAACTTCCCTATACAAAATATATTCTTTTAATTGTGGTAGTTAACAGTCCTAAGTAAGGTCACCAGAAGCTAACATGAGACTTTGAAGTAGCAACAATACCAAGGAACTTATTCTTTATTGTCCAGCACATGTAACAGTTTGCTTTTACTTACTTATCCAGTTTTGAAAAAATGTTATATGCCAGGACATACAACATTCACTTTAACTCAGCATATTAGAATATACTTTTATTCTTAAATTAAATTAAAATTAAATTAAATTAAATTTTAGGAAAAAAAATACATTGAACACATTCCATTTAATTTCAAATTTAAAGTTTTCCGGTCCCTAGCAAGTAATGGTGATCTTTACCCTGAACTAGAATACCTCAGTTATCTGAGTCTTGTATTCAAAGCCTCTACCGTTGAAAACAAGGCTATTGCTATTGATAGTCAAGTCAACTTGAAAATCCACTAGTTTATTCTAAACATCAGCTACCTAATCTAGTTCAACAATACCTCTTAAGATATTCAGCTGATCATGTTTCAGCACCAATATTGTATATTTTCTCTCTCAAAATCTCTGTGAATGTGTTACAAACTAAGTGCTTTCAAGGAAAAATTCAACTTATATTTAAAATAATTAATAGTTTATCAAAATAGAAAACATTCTAGACATTGCTTGTGCATACATGCTGATGTGCCAGTGCACCTCTATCTCTAGTTTACAGAGAACATAATAATACATACCACAGTTTGGTGGTTAACTTGAATCACTTCATCTCCAGCATGGATTTTCTTGCACCGATCTGCAGGTGACTGAATTTAAAATAAAAGAGATGATAAAGAATACAGTCCTTACTGGTCATCATCTCTCTTTTAGTAGTGTGATTGTTAAGCTATGCACATCAGGTTAGATCTATAATTACATTCTATAGTTACTTAAAAATCAATAAAATATTTAATAATGGCATTCATTGTTGTTTCAGAAAATAATCTATATTACTGCAAATAAGACAATCAAATGGAAAAAGGTATGAATACTTATGTTATAAAAGTTTAATCAGTTTCTAAGGAAGTTATAAAAGTTTAATCAGTTTTAAATTCTAGTAACTGATAAATTTGTTTTATCTGCCTAACACTTGAATACCTTAGCAGTGAATCTTTTGCAAAAGGTCAGCTGTCAGGAACTCAAATGGGCAATTGCTTCATAAAAACATTTAACAGAGTGCCTTTTATTCTAATCAAATTCTTTAAACAAATATTTCAAGTGAGCTTTAGCAAATCAGCATATTTGAAAGTGCGCTTGCATATACAATAAGAGCCAAAATAAGAACACAAAGTTGTTAATTTATATTTCAATTATTACTTAGTGTAAGAGAAGCAATTACAAGACCCAGCATATTATAAAAGTTCATGCCTTTAAAGATGAGTTAGTAGAGGTAGTTTTGCTCCTTTAAATTACACCCTCATTTAAAAATCTTTACAACATTTTCTCCTAATTCTGCCTGTAATAATTGCAATATTTCACTGGGGCTCTGCATAAGTGCACCAGTATACCTGCTTGTTATCAAAAGCAGGATCAAGACCACAGTATGAAAAAGCCAGAGGTGTATTTCTCAGGAACTCAAAAAAGTTGCTAAGATTTTTTGTAACAAGGGGATGGAACCAATAACATTAACATGCATTGCTTTCTGGCTCTACTGAGATTATTATAATCTAGAGAGAATATTCTCAAACTCTGGAATTTGACTTCTTCAAAATAACTGAGTATCGTATTGTCTGTCTGTCAAAATGTACGTGTTCAACAGTTTTGCTATTAACTTGTGCTGTGCTATAATTCTGCAGATATCATTTAAATGAAATAGCATTTGGAAAGAAGATTCACAAGAAAAATGTAGGTGTTGTACAAAGTGGTATTCCTGATTCAGTGGGTGGCCCTATATGAAACAGTACTCAGAATTTCTCACATAATGTTGAGCAGGTGAAGGTGCCACTTTGCATTACATCAACACATGATCATTTACTGTATTATTTCAATGTCAGACATTAGGTCTGGTCATTTGGATAAACTTTTAATGTAATAATCTTCTTGATGTACTTGATGTAATAAGTACTTGATGGCAATTATTCAGCTTCTTCCCTAAACGGTTCTATGCTCTTGCTGCATAATGTTACCATATATCATCTCAGTTGTAATCAATCATACTTATACTTGATCCATGTAGATCCTTGTATGAACATCCTTTGAAGTTAATGAGAGACTGCGACAATACAAGTTGCCTCCACTGCCTACATGCTTTCAAAAAGCTCTCTAAAAGCTTTTCTTTATATGTGTTGTTATATATGTATATTGATATAGGTATTAGCACACATATTAGTTCACCAAGTCTGAAATATGTTCTGGAAATCTTGAGGTTGAAAAAAATCTAAATAAAAGACCTAAAATGAACAGTATAAAATTATGTAAATATTCTTCATACAGAAGTTCCAAGTATTGCAGCATTCTTATTAGGAGGTTGTAGATCTTGTGCTTAGCTGAGTTTTTTTCCCCAAGTAGGAATTACTACATACAGCTGTACTGATGACTTTTCAGAGTTTAGTGAAAGTATAGATTATTTAAAGTAATTTTTTAAATAACTTGTTTCCATAGCTGTACATAGGTGATTGTTACAGTGCATACATAAACAACCCAGTTTTGAAGCATTTGATATGGATTCTCTAACCTGAAAAGTATTATGATAACATTTTAAAATATTATTTTTGGTCAAGATAATTCATTTGCAGAGACTTAGACCTTTTAATCAGATTTCCTGTTAACTACTTAATCAAATCACATAAGTCTCATATTTGGTTTAACCATTTACTTTGTGAATTATAAGAAGGTCCCCACAAGATGCCCTATAGGGATAATTTACAAAAAAAAAAAAATGTATAATTCAAGCTGGTATGATCCTCCCAAATGAATTATTCCTATGTAATTGACACCTTCCAGCAAAGGTCAGAGAAATAAAACGAACTAGGAAGGTCAACACACTTGTGTTCTGTAGGACTACCATGGAAAGCACATTTAAGAGAAAAGAACCCTTACATGGAGAACCAGCCATTCTCTTAGAGTTGAAATCTAGGGAGTCAGAGCAGAAGTAGCCCAGCTGATCTGAATGGTGAGGTTAGTATACTTGGAAAGGTGGTCTCTAAGACCAAATCACAAAGGGCTGAACTGTTGGAAAACTAACGTTGCCATCTGTACCAAGAAGACTAGCAAAACTTTAAGGATAATAAAATGTAATATACACCCCACAAGGCTAGAACAGCTGATTATGTCAGTCACTGTATTTTGCACAGTCAAGAGGTTCTCAGTGGTCTTCTAGAGTAATGCATAAATACAGTTTAGAGGTTACAATGCTGTGGAGTGGTCTATATCAGAAAGAAAAGAGCAAAACTATTAGTCAAATATATCTGGAAAGGGTCATGGGCTCTCACGTGGCCCTAGGAATCTAGTAGCATGTAAATGTGTCATGGGAAAAGGGTAACATGCTAACAGGCACCAGTCCTGTTCTGTGGATGGTTCCTCCTGCCCATGACTATTACTCCAGTCTTTTCCACAGTAAGCAAGGTTCACTTGACAGAAGTCAACACCTCTCCCCTAAGAGAAGTTAACATCTATGGATTTCATTAACCAGGAATAACTCTGGGTCCCTTCCCAGTCAGTAGGCTGAAGGTTCTCTAGGGCTAATTTAGAATTGTATTGATGCCCCACAAAGAAGGCTGGAGCAAAATCTTAGGACCTCAAGAGAATGCATTAACAGATTAAATTCTCCCTCCCTCTCTCTCTCTCTCTCACTTCAATTCTGTGGAATGAAACATCATAGAAATTTCCAGAATGAGAAGTTCACATTTTTTAAAGCGAGCGTTTACTAACAAGAGAAATTCAACTTTCAGAACTGGTGTCTCATTCTTTCTATGTTTTCGTGGGTTGGGCTGACTTAGAAAAAAAACTGCGTTTCTGAAGCTGCAGTCCTTGTGATGGCTTATGTTTTTTCTCATTCAGGGAAGAGAGTATTCATAGAGGTCCTACAATAGACATACGCTAGGATATAGCACTTTAACATTCTATCTGAAGCATGAAAAAATATATTTGCTAGAGTTTCTAAGGACATGTGAAAGCATAAGCTGAGAAGCCCTATACACATTCTCATTCAACAAGAAATATTTCTAGAGCTCCCATGCAAAAAGCAGTGCAACAGTCTTAAATACATGCAACTGCATATATTTATCAAAAAATGACGTAGTCACAGAGGAGAGGAGGCATTTCCTGTAGGGTTGCTTGTTTGTTTGGGCAGGGGTTGGCATCAGGTCCTCAAAGTTTTCTACAGGAACTCAAACTGTTATGAAAGTTGCTCAGTCCTGCATTAGTGCTTGCTCCCTAGCTATTCAAGGTTAACCACCAAAGTTCCCCCAAAATATCTGCTTGCCATCTCCCTACTGAATAGCTAATTCTGTACAAAAGGGACTGGAAGAAAAAGGAGAAAGTAAATTTAAAAGGCAGCTGAAAAATATGCTACTGCATGTTGCTTATAGTTCTCTTTGCCATCGGTAAGTGCATATCACATTAAGTGCGTCTTACTACAGACGTTACACAGAAGCCAATAAAGAAATATATGGTAATACATCAACTTTAAAGAATGCCCTTAATTCCCATGCATTTACTTCTATTACAAAATAAAGCTTGATAGATGTAATACAAAAAATCTATTTTTCTTGTGCCACAGCAAACTCCAGCATCAGTCAAAATATATTAAAAACATTTATCTTTTATCCACAGTACACAAGAACCTCAACAAGAGAGCTCTCTTCTAACATGATCAAGCATTTTAATTGCTTCACAAAAATGAACTAAAACTCCTGATCACATCTAAGACCACCAACTTCCAATTCTGAGATAAATAAAAAAGCAATCTTTTTGGCCTATGACATGCTAGGGAACCTTCATAGCCAACCAGTACCTTTTTACAAGCAAAGTACTGCCTGTAGCAGAGGGAAAGCATAAACCAAATGCAGGGTCAAATATAAGCGTCCAGGCCTGAACACACAGCATTAACAATACTTACATTTTCTGTTGTTCCAGTAATTACATGGAGACCATCATATGTTGATTTAATGTACATACCCTAAGAAAAAGACATCATGGGAAAGAATTTGTAAAGTGTTTCACAAACTATTTCCATCCAAAACATCATCTGTATATCTTAAAATGAAAGGCCTATTAATTTAGAACTCAAAAAATGTATACATGCCATCAGGGATACCTTTCCAGATAGAAAAGTGTTTTCTTATAAATAAATAAAAAAAGAAAACTATGAGCCTGAGTGATTCTTCTGTCTACGCATTAGTTGCAGTTTAAAGATGTACCAGTACATTTGTAAACGCTCATAGCTTTTCTGAGAAATCCCCTACACTCTAACATAGCACATCAGCGGCATCTGTTTAGCAAGGCAAAATTAAGAACTGTTTTGTGCCAGCTGGTGCTTTGGGCATTATTCTGAAAGCTACAACAATCTAAGATTTCCTAAAAATGTAATTCTCTAGACATTAAGGTTGCAAACATAACTTTCAAAATGTGAATCCAGTGGTAGCCAATACTTTGTGTGTCTGAAAAAATAGCTCTAACCCATTATTGCCTCAGTCATGTCAATAAGTTAACTCTAAAGCTGAATTATGAAAAGCTGAATTTCAAGAAAGAAGGATTAATATATATCATAAGATCTGCAAACCATACCATGAGTGATCTCAAAACTGCACAAATATTTATTTGTGGGTTGAGCTTGGACCAGTACCCCCAAATCTTTTCCCTTAAGTCAACACCTAGAGAAAATTGGCAAATATTTTTATGGCAGCCCGTGAATCAGAAATGGGACAAGGTATCTACCACAAAAGAGGTGATTAAGTGCATGCATCCTCATCTTTCATATTTTCTTCATTCTCTATCTCTGAAGCAATCAATTCAGAGGCACCTTCTTTTCTCTTGACCGCTTTACAGAAATGAGGAAAGGCCAGATGAGTATTCCTTCCAGTCTGGCCCTTTAGTACTACCAGGAAAACATTGATTTTCCCCCCCTAACTGATATGTTGTTTTCTCCCTTGCATCTGACACACAACAGCTGGGCATGCATCCCTCACAGAGGAACTCCAGTGGAAAGGCTCTGCCAGGAAGGGGGATCACCATGGTCCAAAGACAGTGAGAAGGAACAAGCCCTCCATTTGCCAACAAATCACATGGATTTCCTGAGGTATGCATAGCTTTTTTGGTGTTGGGCACAAACAAACAAGTAAAATTGCATGTTAAGGGGAATATCCCCTAAAAGGACCCTTTGGGCAGGTCTACACTGCCTCTGTGGTATGCCCATGAGCACTGCCAAGAAACATGTCCCATCTACTCACTCCTGCTCATTTTGCACCAAAATCAGGATTTAGGCAGTGTAGATAGTTTAGCATAATCTTGAGTGAATGCCAAGAAGAACACCTGAGAAGGAACACAAGAGCAACTCTGGACATGACTTAAGCGCAGTGCTAAAGCAGCTACACCGTTTTATTTTTGGTCTTTGATGTACACTGAGCTAGAGCAAGTAGGTGGAACATGTTTCTAGGTGGTACTCTGGGGTTTCCCCCAGGACAGACATGAACTGGGAATTAACCCCCCCTGTTACTTTAGAAATGTAGAGCACAGTCCACACCAGTAAGTCATGGACAATGTCCTTATTGTTCATACCAGGCTGCCATGGCTAGAGGAGGGCAAAGCAGAGATCATCTCTACATCATTGAGTATCTTCCAAGACAACCTCTTGCCCACACTCTTGTAGTAGCACTTAATTCCCTCACTCCACACTCACTACCCTGGACTGGAAGGAAAAATCATGGTAGTTTCAATGGGACAGAATGTCTTTCCATTAATTTCTGACTTGGCATGTGCTTTCCTATTTCTTTAGAGAACTTAGTTTCATGACAAACTTTTCTCTGTTTATCCTCACAACACACCTGTGAGGTAGGGAACTACTGTTACTGTCATTGTGGAGATTCTGAAAATAAGACAGAGAAATTAAGGTATGCAGCTAAATGCTACTTAGTCACCTAACTCCTACTGAAATCAAACCAATGGAAATTAGGAACCTAAACACCTTTATGGACCTGGCCTAAGTGAATTCACCAAAATCATTGACAAATTGTGTGGCAGAGCAAGGCACTGAATCCAGGTCTCTTGAGTCCTAGGCCAGCATCATAATGAACAGACCACCCAGTCTGTTTTGTGCCAAAATTTAGCATATATAAATGTAGTGAAAACTCTTAGGGTAGTAATGCTCTCGTTGACTTCAGTGACAGCAGTTAGAACAGTCCATGAAAAATTCTGATTCTGAAAAATCTTGCTTCTAGCTCACAGTAACAATGAACTGTTGCTTTCAACTGTAAACATTTAAATAACCAAGTTTTCATTGCTTTGTCACTTTTTTTGACAGACATTGAAAGGCTAACAAAAGTTTATAGTCAGTTTTATTTTAAATCAAGTTTCATTTACTGTACTCAACAATACAATCATGCTTAAAATTGGGTAAAACTACTGGCTATGGTACACTGGAACAATACAAAACCTTAATTCAAGCAAAAGCAGGCAAATAACAAATAAGAGAGTAATTTTAATGCATATCACCACCATAAATGAGTTCTATAAAGTCAAAGCAGTTCAAGATACATGTATAAAACTGCAAAAAAAAAAAAAAGTAAACAATGAGTATCATCAGAAGTTTAAAGAGACAGATTCGCACACCTTGATGTTTACTCATTGCTTACCACGCACCAAAGATGTTAGGGATTTCATGGATTTCAGTAGGAAAGGATTGCAGATTCCTTGCATTTTGTCCCTTCCCAGAAATGAAAAAGGTGATACTCAGCTAAGGAGGCAGGAGAGGGTGGGAAATGAAGGGATTTCCAAAAAAATTCCTTGCAACACTGAGATCAACTGTGAGGTTTTTATATATTTGTGATGAGGACAGGGGGGTTGCAAGGCAAGTTATTTTAAGCCCACCACTGTATGAAACCTATAAATAATCCAGCAAGGATGCATTGCATCGAAGTCATACAAGAGCTAAGGTTAGCTTGTGTGTCCAAGGTTGTTTTTTTTAACGAAAAAATTAAAAATAGTATTTTCCCCCATAGATGTGAAAAGAATGAGAGAGAGAGAAAGATTATTTCCATTTTGTCTTCTTTCCTCTTCATTAGATTTTTTTTTCACATGTTTGAACAATAGTGAATGCATCTACATGTGCTATTAAGTTGACTGAATAAACCATGGCACAGTTTGCACATGTGCCCAGGACTGCAGCATGCTGAGCTGGGATGGAGCAGCCCCAGCTGGCAGGGGGCTCTGGGGTTCAGCCTGCCAGTCGGGGGCTGTTCCAACCCAGCTCAGAGAGGCTGACTGGTACAAAGGTGCTTCAGTGTGACACTACCCAGCAGACATCCCCTGCACTGAAGCATCCTCGTGCCCTAGCAAGCCCCATCAGCATCTATACATGTGTTGCGGCACACTAAATAACACCACCATAGAACAGTACTTGTGTTGGACAGTACTATCTTATAGCAGTGTTTATTAGTTTACTGCAGCCTAATAGCATCGTATGTATAAACACTGATGTTTTACGGTGGAGCTAATTAGCAGTAAATGTCTCATGTAGACTTGCCCATTGCGTGGTAAAAGGCACAGTCAGGCCTACACAGCTTCGAAAGGATATGTTTGATGTGGAATGTGCTGTAAAAATGAGGGAACTACTGAAGTTTACAGAGTTGGGATTTCCCCCAGTACAATGCTGCTATAATACTTCTCTAACTGAGCATAAATTCAGAGTGTTTAGAGTGTACCTGTCAATAGCACTGGAACAAGTTGGCATTGATAATGTTTCAGTATTAGAAGGCACCTCTAATGTTCTAGAGTAGTGGGAGCCAACCTTTTTTTGGCAGGCATACCACAAATTAGCCCCAAACCTTCTCTGAGTACCACTCCAATCCTCTTCTCTGAGTACCCCTCCAATCCTCTTCCCCTGCCAATCTGCTGCTCTGCTTCCTGTTGCCTGCCGTGTGCTTCCTTACAGGATCTGTTATTCTGTTTTCTCCTTCCTGCCCTACCTACTACTGTGCTGCCTGTCTCCTTCCTGGTCTGCCACACACAGAGGTTCCTTATGCCACTTGTGGCATGCCTGCCACGCACTGAAAACCACTGCTCTAGAGCAGGGGTGGCCAAACTGTATTAAACAGAACCACAGGGTTCTGTGTTAGGTCATCAGAGGTTCTGCAAAAAATGGTAACGGCAGTAGGCCAGGAGGCAGTGCACCACCATTGCCAGCCTGGGTCACTTGGTTCTGTTTCAGTCTTCAGGTTAGGGGCAGGGGCTCTGCAGCAGCGAAGTGACATGACTGTGGCTGTTCTGTGACTTTAGGAAGTTTGAAAACCACTGCTCTAGAGAATTTGCAAGAATCAGCTTGGCCAAACAAAACTGAGGGTACAGAGACAGAAAAATGTAGTATTTTTTTTATCAAAGAATAATAATATAAGCTGTTACGATGATTTTGTTGCAATACACATGTGGCAAACCCATAAGAACTTTAAACCTGTTTCATTCAGGATCAAAGTTAGGGTAATTTAGCTAACTTGCATCACCATAGACTCAGGCAGATGTAACAGCCAGATCGTAACAACTGGTGTGTGGTCTTCCTTTCCTTTCAAAGAGGTTAAAAGTATGTTTATCCACACTCTGGGAGATAATCCAGTTAATAAGCCTTGGAGAACAATAGACATTAGGGCAGTGAATTTGCTTAAGCCAAGAACTAAATATTATTGAGATAAGCAGTCTTCTCAGATGCTTTTTTTGAAGGAGACACAAATTAATTAGATGTATATAAAGTGTATTTTTATGTATTATCTTTCAAGTCCATCTCTCATACTAGATTGAGCAACATCAGCAAGATACTTATAAACTTTGCCACATATTCAATTGTACTTGAACTCTTCCACTGAAAAGGTCATATGTTAGGGATTTCACAGATTTCAGTAGGAAAGGATTGCAGATCCCTTGCATTCTGTTCCTTTCCAGAAATGAAAAAGGTGATATTCAGCTAAAGGGGCAGCAGAGGGTAGGAAATGAAGGGATTTCCAAAACAATGCCTTGACACACACAGATCAACGGTGAGGTTTGCATATATTTGTGATGAGAGCAGGGGGGTTACAAGGCAAATTATTTTAAGCCCATCATTGTATGACACCTGTAAATAATCCAACAAGGCTGCACTGCATCAAATTAATATAATAGCCAAGGTTAACTTGTGTATCCAAGGGTGGGGGTGGGACGGGGGGAAGGTTGTTTTGTTTTGAGGTTTTTTTTCGGGTTTTGGGGGTTTTTTTTTTAACTGAAAAGGTCATATGACAAAAGCTTTTCCCCCTAACTGTCAAGAACAGCTCACATAGGCCCCTCTGATACACAACAAGCAAACTCGAGAAATGGTGTAGTCAACTCTCCAATTCAGCTGCACCTTGATAAGATCATCAAATGTCATACAGCTTCTAACATCTTCACAAAGTTTCCCCTCATCCAATACTTCAGGTTATGAGACTTGGATGAATAAACCTGGACTCTCAGAAAAATTTACTAGCTAGCCTCCAGGAGTTATACCACTGACACTATTGCACTCTGCTCTGTTCTATTTATTTTCCACGTGAGTTCTGTGGTGCTCCTACAGCTAATTTTGAGTTTTGTCTAGAAAAAGGAACTAAGACCACCCCATCTATTACCTGTAAGATTAACCTATAAAATTCCCAAATCTATACAAAAGAGATACCCTATATTAAGGCTGTCCAACTTCTACATAACTGGGGGCTGTACACCCCATGGGCCACTCCAGTGCAAACTTTGGATCCCTGGGCCACCCGCTGCCCTACCCAGCACCACTCTCTAGGGTGGGACAGGAAATAGAAGCCAGAGGAAAGGGGGAGCCGAGAGTTCCTGGCTGCTGCTGCAGCCCAAGTGATGGGGAGAACAGCATCTCAGGGACCCTGGATGCCTTAAGTTAACCCGTTGCAGGCCACCAATTGGACAGCCCTGACATGTATGAACAACTAGGACTTCAATCACACAGTAACTTGTTTAACTCAACAATATTTGAACAGTGAAGGACACACTAAGAAGAAATACTGAGCTAGAAAATCTGGAAATCAATAGATATTTCTGCATTTTTCCTGGATATTCAAGAATCCAGGTTTGATGCCATATTGACCTTTAAAATAAAAGAGTTATACATGAAACCATGCAAAAAAACCTTTAGAATGGCTTGAAAAATGTTCATGCTATAATCCAATTACTTGTGTTTCTTCTGGAAAAAAAATCCACATGATATTCTGGTTCTTTACAGCACCAAGACCACTTTTCTCAACAAACTGTAATGTTTTTAATTCTGCTTCCTATGAATGAAACATTACCAACTGAACTAGTCAATATCATGTCACTGCTATATAAGTAAGAGTCCAGTAAGAGGCCCTAAGTTACATTCTGCCTTTCTCCAAAAGGGATATTTCTGCAAATGTGTGCAAAGGCATCTGCTTTTAATTGACGTGAGGGCTTTTTGGAAGAGATCTGTACTCAACAATTCCATTTTCACCTTTGCTTTTTACATGCTTCCTACAGCAACACAGCCATGGCAATGCTTTTATGCAACCAACTATGCACCCAAAATCAAGCACCAGCCTGGGGTAATGAAAAATCTATGGTACACAAAGTTCTAGCCATTATCAAAAAAAAATTCCTCATATCATGCCACAAATACAACATTTTTTTCTGTTTTTCCAGAAAAGGACATAGGGGTTTAATAGTGGAGTGTAAACGGAATACAAGCTGATAGCATGCTTTTGTTGGGGGGAAAAAAAGTGAACAGCCTACTGGATTGTATTAACAGGAGTGTCTCCTGGAAGTCAATGGGAGTAGTTCTTCCACTCCATTCAGCACAGATAGGTCCTCACCTTGAGTATTGTTTTGGGTACCAAACTTCAGAGAAGGCAGAGACAAACTAGAAAGAGTCCAGTGGAGAGCAACAAAAATTAGAGGTCTAAGAAACATGATTTACAAGAAAAGGTTGGAAGAACTGGCAATTTTAGTCTAAAGAAAAGAACACAGAGGTAGGACTTGATAAGTCTTCTATTCTAATACTTGAAGAATGGATATAAAGCGGACAGTGACATTCTATTATTCTCTGTGGCCACAGGGCCCAGGACAAGAAGTAACTCCCTTAAATTGCAACCAGAGAAATTCAGGTTGATTAGGAAGCACTTTCTCATTTTGAGTGGGGTTAAGAACTGAAACAGATTACCTAGGGAGGTTGTGGAATCTCCATCCTTAGAGGTTTTTAAGAGAAGGACAAACATTTGTCTGGAATGACTTAGACTAGGATGATCCTGCCTTTAGCAGGGAGGTAGACTAGACAATCTCCTGAGGTCCTTTCTACCCCTTTTTTTTCTAGGATTCTATGGTCCTATAAATGTACAGTGCTGTATAAATTCACAGGAACTTTTTCCCTTGCTCATAGTACACTAAATCATTTTAATATTTTTAATTTATATATCAATATTACTTTTCAGTAGCATTTGTATGCATAATTTAGAAAGTATATTCATCAAAACAATACTGTAGTTCTTTCATCTACCAAATTTCAATTTAAAAAAATGTTTCCTCCTTCATCTTGCACCCTTGGCAAACCAATTCTACATAACTCCTGTATCCTAAGAACAGCATCCCACAGAAATTCAAATAACCCTCATTTCCTTGCTAGTTTTTCCTTCTCCCCTTTCCTTCTCCTCCTCCTCCTCTCCAAAAGTTTGACTTCTTACAGACATTCTCCTCAACTACTATAAACGTTTATATCATGCTAACTGGTGGACACTCCTATCCTCAAAGGCATGAGCCATTCATGTTTGTTTGTTATCCTGATGAGAGAGAGTCCTTCCAGTTTTGTAATATTCAACACTTTATTCATTTAACAAAGTAACAAGTGCAGAACTCCTGAATGTTTCCAAACTCCAAAAGTAATGCAATCTTCCCACCTCTGTTATGGCACAGGCCTTAAAAGAAGGTCTGATTAAGTCCAGAAGTTATCAAGCTCCTTATCCAACAGAGTGATCAAAGGTCCTCAATGCAGAATCCTTTATCAGCCTTAAGAAATCACTCATAGTTATTGACAATTATAAAACCTAGGTTGAGTGCTAATAATAATAAATCAGAACATGTTTGTTGATTATTAAACAGATGAACTTCACAAAATATGACATCCTATATGAAGAACGTAAGAAATGATTTAACAAAGATAATCAGATACTAGGATTACTACTATACTGACTCCAAAATTGCATTAGGATCCAACAGCGGAAAAACATAACGCACAGTCCCTACTCCAGAGAGCTTACAGTCTAGACAAAGTGACACAGAACAGTGACATGGGGACAAGGAAGGCAGAAAGGAGGAAACAGTAATAAAGTATTACAAAGCTAAGCCTTGTACACCTACAGTTAATACTTTTTGTGTTCTTTGAAATACTGTTATTCACATGATGGTAGCTTCGAGAGGATCTAATTGATATCATGATGCTATTGTGCTGCAAACACATAATCAGAAAGTGCCCTTCCTTAATGAACAAGACAGACCGAAAAGGAAAACAGACCCACAAGGAAGGGGAAAATGTTTTCCCACATCAATGACAGAAATGGAAAAGGAAACCATGGAAATATGCATCTATATAAAATAAATAAATACATATTATAAAAAAATAGCTTCTCTCACTCACTTTTGGCCTTGTGAAAGAAGAGTGACTTAACTAAGGAAAAATGGTGGAAAACCCTGTGCAGTAATGAGGCAGAGAAGAAAAGAATACTGTTTACAGCATCTGCTTAACAAAGATGTGGACAGGGCTCTAGAAAGCAGGAGCAGAGAGACAGACAGACAGACTGACCGAGAGACCAACAGACAGAGAAAGAGTACTCATTTCTCCTGGAGAGAATGGTGGACTTGAGCAAGCAAGCAGCAAAATAAAATAACAGGATGTCAAACTGGTAGTGTGGAAAGGGTCTCTGGGGATGTAAAAACCTGAGGGGCAACTTTAAATGGATTTAGAGATTATATGGAAGCCAATGAAAAAAAATAAAGGATGGGGTAATATTCACCACCTCAAAATAAAATTTCTTATTTTAATTCCTACTGCCTGAAGTAACGTATAGCAAATAAATCATTTATCTAAACACCTTGTTGTGGCAAATCTGATAAAACACCAGAATAAAACAAAACAAAAAACTAACAAATAGGTAGGAGTGTGGCATTACACATCTCCACACAATTAAATGTACCATAGATATGTGTAGATAATAAAAGAGGTTATAAAAGCAAGTTCTCTACATAAAAAAATAATTCATTATATTCTGGACACCTTCTGGTTGCCCAAAGTTTGGTAGGTGGCAATACTATTTGTGATGTAAAACAGCATATCTATCTTTAACATTGTTTTTTTCCTTAATACAGTGGTTGTTAATGCTTGCATAAGGCAAGGAGTAGTGGTCAACTTTTGAGTGGCACTCAGATTTTACATTGGTCTTTTGCAACCATTCACTCAAGCATGCAGAGATCTTTAGTAAGATTTAATATCCTACTTCTCTCCTGGGAAGTGCTGTAGAATAAGTTATAAAATTGCTTTATTTCTTAGGGAGATATATGAAACAAATTCCAGAGCTTGACAACCTTATGTATAAACCTACTCGAACTTCATGTTGGCGTGTATTTATTTTAATTTAAATCTCCTCCAGATTTCAAGATCCTAGAAAAATCTAAAGTATTTCAGAAGTTGGTATAACTAGCGAGTATTTCTCTTTCATTCTTACTGTTCTCTGACATTTTTATACAATAGATAACCATGTGAAATACCAATCCAGTTATCCTAGCTATTTGAAAATTAATTGATTTGCATCTTTTTAAGAGTAGCCTACAGCTCCCCCATTTATAATTCTTATTTACAGAATTAACTTTCTTGTCCTGGATGATGGTTTTGATTAACTGCGTACTTCTTACCAGCCCTTCACTTGGTTTGATGTTGGTCAGCTGGATCACTTCAAGGTGCGCAGACTGGGAAACCAGAGGATCAGAGGAGAGTGAGATAATGTGGTCACAGACTCCAGAAAGTGTTTTACACTAGAAAAGAAGGCAATATGGCAGTGAATACATCAGGTATAATTCAGTATTTGAACAAGTATACTATTCAAAATGAATCCCCCCCACCAAATACTTTTTAATTATAACATTCTCTGACATAAGGCCACAACAGATAAAACACTACTAAATAACTGTAGTGTTTCTAAATTCAATGAGTTAACTCTTTGAAAAAAAAAAACCCCAATCCATGAAGTTTCGATTAAATTATTGCCATTTTATGGTCATAAGCGAATTCAAAATGGGAATATGAACTCTTCAAGTTTTCTATGACCATAGATTTAATTGAAAGGTGAAGAATCAACAGGCTTGGGCCATGATACAGTACCCAGATTTGTTAGTGCTGGTACAAGTGTTGTACTGAACATTTAAAGGATTCATCTATTAGGCAGGGCAGCTACACAAAATTAATTTGTAGTCTTGAGTTGCTATAAAAGTGACTGTGAATGAAAGTGAATGAAATACGGAATTAGATGGACAGTATTCAATTGCAATGTTTAGTGTATTAATCACACTGGCAGTACTTGTTTGTCATGATGTCCAAAACCTTCACAATATCAAAACTGAAAAAAAAAAAGTACTTATGCAAAAGACTGATCCCTCTCTCCCTTTCCTATTATTATACACTTTTCCTCTTTTACCTTGTACAATCTTTGAGGCTAGGGACAGATGTTACACATAACCCGGTTTAAGTGATCAGAAACTGGTTTAAACCTGTAACAGAATAGAAGCTCAGTACACATAAACCAGCTTCAAAATGGACAAACCTGGTCTAAGATAAACCTGGTTGAATGTAGTATCAGAGTCAACTAATTTGTGTCAAAACAGTTTATGAAATTCTGTCCCAGACCCCTTCCTCGTTCAAGTTAAATCACAATGCTCCCCCCCAATCCCAGCATGCTTTCCAAGGGCTGTCTGCTCCAGAGAAAAGGGCTGGCCACACCCCTCTGCTCCCTAGCTGGAGCACTGAGGGCTGGCTGACAAAGGGGGTGGGGCGGGGGGCAAGCCCAGCTGGGGATGCAGCCCAGTCTGCGGAGGGGAAGACTGCCCCGCCAGGCAAACCTGGGCTGGGGTCTAGGACCTGGGAGGGGGGTATTAAACATCTCTTCCCCCACTCAGAATTACTGCTGGCTGCAACTGTGTACTGCAAATCCCAGAGCCACCTGGAAGCAGGAAGAGGAAGTGATGAGCAACCCTGCAGAGTCCTGCTGCTGTGATTGTGAATTGCAAATCTCAGAGACCTCGGGGGAAGCAGGAAGAGGAAGTGAACACACAGCTAAAAAGCTGTGCTCTAGCACCTCCTGCCTTCTGGCCTGAGCCACTGCAGGCATGTGGCTGCACTTCCTGAATCAAAGGTAAATGTCTGTTCACTTCTGTTTCAATTTAATCTGTGCCGTTTAGACTAACCTGCAAAGACTGAATCAATTGGGCTTTTTGACTGTCTGTACCTAGCCTGAATGTTCAGATGCACATTATATACATGTAATATAGTATCTTCTTAACTATTTTCAAAGTTGCTGAATACATCCTAGTCCCACCACCTTCAGTGGAAACTGCTGTCACTGAACACATCTGAAAATCATATCATTAACCACCATGGGTAACCCCCATAGTACTAACATTTACTGTGCATTAATCATAAGCTTATCCTAATGTTAATTAAAACATATTGTTTGTTTTAACTACTACCAAGTAGGGTGGAGTATTTGACCAGTCAAATAAGGTTTGGTTAATAGACCAGTCAAATATCAGTGAAAAACTGTAAGAAATTTCAAATAGGTCCGGATAATATACAGAAAAGCACAAATTTCCCATTAAATGTGTCAAAAACAATTTTAAAAAAATCATATTTGTCAAGAAAACTACAAAAAAAATTATTTTTGTAAAATAGCTAGAGTCTTTGACCAGTTAAAAAAAAAAAGCCCAACAAACTCTTAATGTTCTCTAAGGCCTAGAGTTGTAGCGTTTGTATTTTCTACCTCTAACCCTTCATGCCCTTAGTTTTCAGTCGTCTGAGAAGGGGAATTAGTGGCAATTTATTTTTGTGATTCTATTATATTTCTCTAGCTAGTAATTGTTGAAAACTTTAACACCTGGCAAGAAATTCCCTGCTGGTAGGCTAGTTTCATGATTCAGATTTCCACAAGAGTGCTCTGTTAGCATATTCAAAGATTAGAACATGCTTTTGGTCCCAGTACTGTGGTAACTGAAAAACTAATTAAGACCCAGTCTAACTGTTCTCCAAGTCAAAACAATGAAAAGTTAATCAAACTACTCAAATAAATGAAAAGCTGCATGTACCAATCACATTTCCAAATAGCTATTCATGCTTTACAATTAAAAATATATGAACATAAATGTTAAACTCCAAAACTGACAAATATACTGTAGAAACTTGTATAAATGATATGTACCCTTCTTGCCACATCATTATTGCAATTCCAAACCATAAAGCACAAACACCTTATCATACAGGCAAATAAATAAATAAATGAAAGAAAAAATGAAATAAACATGAACATGCGATAATGCTGCAGAACCCCATATTCTAGGTCCTGAATATGTTTTGTTAATCATTCATAAAAAGCTGAGAATATGGATATAGATAGCGGGGGGGGGGGGGGGGGGGGGGGGG